AAGAGATCATGTCCATCCCCATGGCTTCACTGTCACCAATGCTCTCAAAAGTATAGTATATCGTGAATTATGTCACCCAATTTGTAGTAGTCTTTCGTGTGAATTTCATTATCCTAGATGACCTTGATAGAAAATTCTAATATTTTGGATTTATAGATTAATAACCATTTGCTACTGAATGAACAAGAAAAGTAGATATCGGTCTTTTTAAAGACAATGTGACACGAAGCCGATACTCGATTGACTTCAAAAATATTTATTGGTTCCACAAGAATTCATTAATTGCGTAGTCGATACTACTATGATTGTCAGAAAGCGTTATATTAAAGTATCAATTTCGAAAAAAAATAATCTAATGCTAACTGTATTATTATTCAGTAGTAATAAGTTAATGCTAATACAGTGAGCATGATATAAGTTTTTTTTCTAAACAAATATCAATCTATTAATTTTCAATGTTCCTATCAATTCTCATGTGTTAGAACAAGTATTAGTTGATACTCATATTAATGCTAGCCTACCACTTCTATCTACAATTGTGTTGTTTTAAATTATTTTTGTCGCATAATAGTCTGACTTATTGTCTTATCCCATTTACGTCATTGATCTTTTGTTTATTTTTATATTCAGATCATGTTCGTTACACACAAAAGAACATTTAAACAAATACACAAACTTTCATCTCTTGCAGACAAATTATGATGTCGGATATGTCTCGTGCTACTTACCATGCTTGCTGCTATTGTGACACATCGTAAAACAATGGAAGATCAAGATCTTGGTGTAGACTCAATTACTAGAATAGTCCTATTTGAAAAGTTGAAGAAGTTAGCTGTATTTTAAATAATTGGATAGTTCTTGAGTTCTACTGTTTAGTAATAAATATTATTCATTTGAATGAACTACGAAGCGATTTTACGATTTCTACGAATCATTGCGCGATCCAATTAAGTATGGGATATTTTAGGCCCACGAAAAAACCCGGTTGGCATATGCGTGGTTCAAGTTTGTTCGTTGACTCATGGAGTTAATAGGATGTCAAAGGATAGTCATATGCATCCATGGATTCCATTGCAGACCATGATCCACTTGGCACATGTCTCGGTTTTAGAAGCAGTATCTCATTATATAGTCGGTTACTCTACTTCTGTATCATCATCGATAATTAAAAGACGATATTCGATAAGGTTACTATTCAACGCATGCTATCTTCAAGAAATAACAGTATGGCAATAACAAAGTCAGTATGAGCTACAAATCAAACGTACCCATCTCCTTGAAATGACTTTCAAGTTTTGACCTCATACTTCTCAGAGTCTAGAATGTTTTCAAAATTAAAATTTTTAAAATTGGCCTGGAACAAGTTACACTCATTGGACCCAAACTTGCTTGTCCTTAGGCTGCATTATTCTGAAATATCATATGAAGGTTTAGACTGAAAGGTCGGACTTGAGAACGAAGATATTCTCTATTCCTTCTTGTACACACCTCACACTCACACCCACACCCTTCTCAGTTCAAAACGTTATCGAAAAATCATTTTCTTTATTTTTCTTTCGTAAAAAAGCGATTTTTTTCTATCAAGACTATGTCAATACCGATTTAAACATAATATAAATTAATAAAATCAACACGAACATGTTCGAACACAATTTTCTACATCTTGATGGTACCGTTATACGATTGGCGGCTAAGCGATTGAGCAAAACACTCAATCGTCGACCTCCTTGCGCAAGACGTTGTTCAATTATTCCGATATTTCTTTCGTAGTAGATATCGCCCAATGTGAAATTGACCGATGCATCTATAGTCATATTAGCTTCGTCCAAATAGACTTGTTGGCAAACCACTTTGGAACTTTCATGAACCCATTGGTTGAAATTGTCATCGCTACCGGTCGATGTTTGACTAAGCATAAGCGCGTGAATATACTCGTAATAGCTAGTGATATCCGATTCGAAATGACGCGACAATCGTATCCTGATGAGGTCACTATCCCATAATGAATGAAGATTTGTTGGCAATGTTTCATTCATGAAATAGCCTAATTACAAAATGTACGACTTCGACTAGTATTGTTTTGAATTCGAAAATAAAGATTTACCTCTGACACTATTGCCTCCGAGGTCTGCTGCGAAACCGACATGTAACGGTTGATGAACATCACCAACATAGTGGACAAGAAACATGAGTGCTTCTTGATGTTGGACATCGTCGAGCTTGGCATCGATGACACGTTTCGAATAATTTCTTAATGCACCCTCAATGCAAATATCATTGACACAATCTCTCGATGGATCATAGTTACAAATACCAGATGGTGTATTGATGTAATGTAGTGGTCGGCTCCATTGCCAGTTTGGATGACCAAACGGATTTGTATCCGGATAAAGAATACCGTCAGCCCATACTGCTACAGCAGTCAAATTACCTGATAAATACCAAGGAACAAGAGATTTAACCCAATGAGACGCTTCATCAGTTAATTGGCTCTGAGCTAGACGAGCAACAAGACCGTGTCCAATGAGACCCCAGCTGTATACATCTTGTACAAGTGCTCCACAGAGAATGATTATTGAAAACAATGAAAATATTTTGTTGTGTACTGTTATTGTGATCATTAATTTGATAGAACAATATCAAACATAAAAGTAAGTCTATAAGAATTCAACTTTGTGTTCTTATCAATGAGGCTTTCGTATTAAGAAGTACTTATATATTTATCGAATGCTTTCGTCACTATTATACGATGAATTGAATAATGGCCACTTTTTTTTCTGTTGCTTTAATCTATTGAAACATAATGCACATGTTTTCAATATCAGCTTACGCACTTATAATTATTTCAACAATACTATCGCTGTAAATATTCAGAATATGATCGTCTAGCTAAACGTTTTTGTTATCAGCATTGCAAGCAAATAGACATTGTCGTTGACGGATAAATTGATTGAAGTGGTATGAAGCGACGTAAAGAGTCATAAGAATGATTTATTTAGATATGGTAGCCATAGATTGTCCAATGTTTTTTGTAGTTCAGTTTTCAGGAATCCTAAAAGACCTATTAACCGACTGCAAGAAGAGTGACAATGGATGTGAATGTGTCTCAGACCTTCGTGTTCTTCGCAGAACGTAACTCCAACACACAAGAACCCTAACATTCCTTCTTCTAGTCATTAATGCATATGAAACGATTGCGAACCATTTGTACCATTTGAGCAAAAAGACGTAGCTAAGCTTATATCACATAGAATTCTCAACCGAATTCAATAATTTGTTCAGATAATATACTTCACAGGTGTAGCTAATTTGGCTACTAAAATCAGGCGTCGAGCTATTGTTTGTCACTAAATGGCATGAAAATGATGTTACTTTTACACTTAAATTTCAGTTAAACAAGTACGACATCGATAAATGAAGCTGATTTTTTTTCTAATGAGGAAGCACTGTTAAAACTCACTATTTTTTTTTATAGTATTATCGTCAAATAGGCTACCAAACGTGCTATTTGATTTAATGCAGCATTTTTTACTTTGCTTGTACTGATTTGAATTACTCGTGCTCCCATCCCGCTATCAATTGCTTTTTTCGGAAGAACAGCATAAATGAACTTTCAGTCAGCTATAGCCAAAAAATAGACTGATGAAAAAAAAACAAAATGCTATTTAAAAGAGACCTACAATATTTGCTATTGGATAAAAAATAAAAAAGTTTGAATCTCAAAACACACCTTCCCTTTTGTATGTCTCGTCACGTTGGTTTTTGTTTTTTTTTTATCTATCTCAGGTCCTAATATATCTTGATGAAGATAATTCTTAGCACAATACTGATAAAATGTTTCCTCATACTTTTGTACTGTCACGCTTTTTTTAACAGCAATACCCATGTTTTTCAATCAAAGCAGAAAGAAACCTAGATATATCTGATATGAATCGAAAGCTCTTTGAAAGACAAATCTAGCTAGGCGTGTAAAGTTTTTTGCAAACGACACAGGTGAATTTACTTATGTTAAAGTGCACTTTTTTTTATTCTTTATGCATCAACAGAAGATTTTGTTTGAAAAATAGACTGAATAAAGGGTCAATATATGCACTTTTTTTTTAAGATATGTTTGGATAGCTTATGGTTCCACTTAGATTTATTCTCGATTCGTTTTTCTAAAAGAGGCTTTCAACATTTGCTGTAGTACTTTTACGATGACTCGATGATTCTCAAAATTGATCTGGAAACTACCGTTTTTTCGAAGCTTCGGCTATCTTTGATAATGGTAGTGACACAGTCATTGGTCTTCTTCATCTCTCTAATAGTAATATCTACTGAAATACGTGAAATCATTGTACTGATAAATGAAATTTTCAAAAAAAGTTGAAGTCAAACCATACAAATGGCTTACAATTGTCTCATACACATATGTATGTATAGCAACGTTTCAGTCACTTTTTAATTAATAACGATTTTTCCTATTATCGACATTACGTTACTAGTATTGAGCGCTAAAAGATGTTATGTTTTATTCAAATAATCAACCAGAGTTCTTCTTGGATTTGGTTTAATCAAGAACAGTATAATTAGGATACAAGAGAAGGACAAATTCTGAATCAGTAATCCCAGATGTATCCAACCAGGAGGTAAAAGATCGACATGAACTACATTGAGTATAATGAAAACAAACATTGGCACGACAGTCAGAAACAGGTGTGAATTAAGAAATAAAATGCGACAGACAATTATTAAATCTCGGCGCACATATAGTTGAAGATTGCCATTGATTTTTGATAAGACTTGCTGTTCATAATTCACTAAATGCTGATTGAGAACACTAATCACAATATTCGATATTATGAATAATAATGAACCCATATAAAATAGGAAATCAAGTGTTAAACAAGTGACACAGCATAGATTATCTGCAAAAACCTTTCTTTATGTTGTATGTTAATAGAACAGGTTAACTAATAGTGAAATAAAGTATCCAGTGACAAAGAACCCAACATATTTTGTCACTGTTAAAAATCAAGTTATGGATTTATCTTAATTCTAAGATATTTTTGAATGCTTGCCGAACAAATCAATAGTGAATACAGGCAATTGCAGAGTAATGCAAATAGGCATCACACAGGCAAAGAGAGTCGAGTCAACAGACAGCTCTTTATTCAATATTATATGGGAAATATTTCAAGTCTAATCATTGCTCAGTGAGCAACAGTTGCATGTATCCTGGTATACTTCTTTCGTCAATGCTTTTTGTGTTTTTCCACGTGTAAACTTGTCGAGAGAAAATACTGATCTGCTTATTTTGTTTCACTCTCAATGTTGCCGATATGTCACTTTAGAATGCACATATAGAGACAATAAGGCGTGATGAGAATATCGTTGACATGCATTTTCACTTGTCTTCATTGATAAATTCATTTTTTTGATTATGTTATTTAGCAACTTTCAAGAAAGGTATCCCTTATAATACGCATCTTTTCGTTGTATCTGAAACACTACTTCCTAGTTTCAGTCTCCAGTGATTCTTAAATTTCCAAATGAAATAACTTTGAATATTTGAATAAATATTTTATCTGTTTCCCATGCATAATCAAAAGACAGTGAACAACATACGGACAAAACAAGACAATATATAACTACATGGAATCTGGAAGGCTTTAAAGGAGTTTCGCATGTTTCTATAAAACCGGATGCTGCACCATTCATTCAGTTGGATCGAATTCGGAATGCTAGGTTTTCAATGATCACTGTAACTTTATGATACGATAAACTTTAATATCGTTTAATAGATGATCAATTAAGAAAGTATGCGTAAGAAAATCTAACAATTATTCGTAAACTGAGTGGAGACTCTTCACAGAGGTTTTATTAGAATACGTCAAACGAAATAGCACTCTGACTTAGCATTATACTCGAAGTCTTAGTCTGATCTCTTAGGTCCAGGTGTAAATGACCAGAAAATCATTAGTCTGACGCACTCAAACTTACATGTGCCCTTTCAAGTTCCTCGACTATTTCATTCGAGTAGACCAAAAGCAAAGAAACAAAAAAAATGAGTATGATAAATTAATCGATAAGTAGCATAAAGAAAAAGCACTCGAGAGATACGAAAGTTAGAAGAGACAGAATAGTAATCTGAAATCAACAAAATAAATTGGAAGTAAGCAGGGTAAACCAGTCAAAGTTACTAAGACAATGCCGAGCAATAGAATCAAAAACGAAATTCGAGAACCTTTGAGAAATAAAATATTAGAAAATACTTAGAAAAAAATGTTGTCAGTGCAAACATAGATGTTACTGATTTAAGGACGAAGAATTTGAGGAATTTATTTCTAATTCTCAATTTTACGCTTTTCAGTTTACGGAGATACGAATACTTTCAGTGCTATTGAATAGTAATAGTCATGACATCATTTCTCTTAAGAAACATCGAACTACTTGATTTTCAAGGTATTAATATCAAACAATGCTGAAAAATACTTGCATATAATGTTTTCGTCTTTTTGTAATCGACAGAATCAATATGAAGTTAAAAGATTGTTGAAAAAAAATTTGCGCTATGTTTTTTGTAAATATTTGTGGATAATAAACCACCCTCGCACTCATTACTTTTAACCACATATATATATTCATCTCAGTGTTATTTCTTTTTGTCTTGACGGAAAAAAGGAACGACGCAAAGGTTGACTCATTACTTTGTATCATTGATAACACAGAATTCTACATAACGGTAAGTTCTCATTGGCATAAATCATGTTCCTAGAATATTAAGCTGTTACTTATGATTTCACTCCGTATCGACACAGATCTGACTAAATTATGATCGGACATGACTTTTATTGGTTGATCATTACCATGCGACTAGTGGCTCAAAGCTTCTCATTAAAGAGCTGCACATCATAGTGATCTTCAATAAAAGTTCGGCAAAAAATTTTACGAAATCTCTGAGATATAGTTTTTCCATTCATCGTCTGTTCAATCATGAAAATTGATATTGTCGATAGGGAATTTTTAAATCACAGTTCAACTAGACTTGTGCCAATCGAAGAAGATATTGTACTTGCGAACAGGATTCTTTATCATACATAAACCAAAAGTGTCATCAAAAGAGGCTTTATACGAGCGGATGTACCAAATTTTGTTCAGAATAGCACATAAATAATGTTTTCTAATGAAAAATGTTCAACACAATCTCCAAACAAAGATAATCCCGCTAAGACAGTGTTTGTACATAATTCAAATGATTTCTTTCGAGATCACTAAATCAGACGCATATTGTAAGTGTCACTCATAAAGTATGTCTGTGAAGTACAAGCCTACTATGGAGAAATTTTAGAACTTAGGACTGAAAATATTCATGATCAAATTGAAGTAATCCAAAAATTTTAACACTTTTTTTTCAAAGGTTAACTTCTCTTTACAGATAGAAACCAATCATAATTTGCTCAGTGTTTTTCCGTTGCTGCAAATCGTATATGGACAGTAGAATATGATTTCCAAGGCAAAAAAAGAAAAAGTTTTGTGTGTTGTGTTTCTGCATGTATGACAGACACATTTAGGTCCATCCCGTTTTGTATAGCACAATGCAAACACGTAAATTTTGGTTTTTTCCTTTATTCAATCCAAA